AGTTGGTTCGGCCTCCAATACACCGCGTGCGGTGTACTTTAGCAAAAACAACAGATAGCCGGTCACGCGAGATCACGTGACAGCAATGTTCTTCGTGACGACATAAAACTGGCGGGCGCTCGCCTGACGCCGCATTGAACGAATGACCATCGGTTTCCATGGCCATCGGTGAATAACAGAGTGTCTGTGCACCAGGAAGGCAACATTCATAGCACGGTATCTTCACGCTGTGCCTGGTGTGCTGCTTTGGTTGGGTATGCAGGGACTTTGGTGGCGAAAAGACACGTTGGTGGTAGTACGCGTGTCGGCATCCGCAACTTATGCCGGTGACAACCAAAGCCAAGATATATATATATATATATATATATATATATATATATATATATATATATATATATATATATATATATATATATATATATATATATATATACATATACCTACATATGTATATAGACTCTGCTACAGGTGCTGCAGGTGTATATACGCATACATTTATATACATACGCTAATTCTGGTGCGAGGCCAGTAGTGCGCTTTAGGAAGTAGCACATCTCTGGTGTGTCCCGTACTAGGATCAGTTACCGTCGCCGGCGTCAGATGATAACGTCGGGCCGTCTCTGGTTTTAGGAGGAATGTCTGGAGACCTTCACCGCATCGCAACGGGCACGACAAAAACATTTTAAAAATTCAGTCGTCTCTAGAGTCGAATAACGGAGTTTGAGTGAACAATTATTTCCATTTCTTATACAGTTTAATTTTCCTGACACCATTATTGCGATATATTACATTACGCACGCTTTTTGATGTTTGATTAACGCCGGTGTTCCTTCTAAAATCAGCGCCTGCGTCGCCATCGCCTCCGCTGTGGTCTCAAGGCGTCATATTCTGCCGCAGATGGAAATCCGCAGCAATCAGCTGATCAAGGACCACGAGCTGCGGCGGCGGGACCTCATGATCCTGCGCTACGACCGACAGAGGGCGCTGTGTGACGAGATCATCAGCCGACAGCGGGACTTCATACAAGGTCAGCAAAGGTCAAACTTGTGTTACCAGAGCCAACAACGCGACTTCATTTAAAGTCAGCAAAGGTCAAACTTGTGATGCCAGACCATTATCCAGCAGCGGGACTTCATGCAAGGTCAGCGAACGCCAACCATGTGTCACGAGCATTGTCCGACGTCGGGACTTCATTCAAGGTCAGCGAAGGTCAAACCATTGTGACCAGATCATTGAGCAACAGAAGGACTTCATGAAAAGTCAACGAGGGTGAAACGTTTATTCCCAGAGCGTTAGCCAACAGCAATGCTTCGTGCAAGGTCAGTTAAGGTCAAACAGAACTGACGGGGTCATCTGCCGACAGCAGGGCTTGATGCAATCTCAATAGCAACAGCAGCTGCGTGCGACCAGCGGAGGCCGAGCAGACGACAATTATCTTATAGACAAGACAATAGTATTAGCCTTATTCCTGGGAAAAACCAGGAGAATAGAGATATAGTTGGGCTGATATTTTGGCAACATGCCGTTCTCGAAACAATAGCAGAAGTGATAATTATCAATTATCACAAATTATTAGTTAGATACACAGATAGACAATTATCTTGTAGTGGTAACCGGCTGCATGCAGACACAGGACAATATGATCCATTATTGGATGATGCTCTCTCCTATGCCGCCAGATATTGAGTCGGGCCGGAGCCCGAATGGCGGCGACATGCCTCCGGAGCTGCAGAAGATGTACTCGCTCTACCAGCAGGAGCTGCAGGGACCCAGCGCGCAGAGGGATCAGCGCTTTCTCAACGGACTGAACGAGGTCATGCGGGTAGGTCGCCAGCGGTCACTCAGAGGTCACGGGGTCGCCTTGGGTCATCAGAACGAGCCCCGGCGCTGTGGTGGTTGGGTTGTCCGGGTTGTGCCGGAGCGAGTGACAGTCGCCGCCGGACTGAGAGATACCCTCGCTGGTGCTCGACCCCCACTCACCTGACACGAGTAGCGCTGATGACTCACCTCCACGCCTGATGATCATCTCTCCACCTGATGCATCTATCAACGCCTGATGACTCATACTCAGCGCTGATGACTACATCTACTCAACGCCTGATGACTCGTTCTCCACGCGTGATGACTCACTCCTTCCTGCCAGCACCTTTACCACGAGCGGCCGTGTCATGCCACCTGCATGACACGATAAGGATCCACCAGCACGATGTTAACCCCACGTTTAGCAAACGGGCAAAGTTGCCAGGAAGTGTGAGTGCTCGGGTACGCTGTGAGTACTCGGGTACGGGGATGCGGTACGGGCAGCCTCAGTGCATGGTTATGCGTAGCGAGGCGTCGAACCACATCGCCGAAGTTACGGACAATTGTGTGAGTAACTTTGGAAGAAAAGGCATGAATCACACGGGTGTTCCCTTCAGAAGTAGCATGATGCTCGTAGGTCCATCAGGGATGAGGTCGTAAGGGCAGGCCTCCAAAGAAACGAGCTGATACACGCAGCGTCTCTAGCAGATGCATGACTTTGCCCGATGAGTGGAAGCGTTTGGTAGGTGTTCATGCAGGGTCGAGGCCTCCCGTGTGAATTCTTGGTATTGAAGTTCCATGATGCAGATATAATGCGAAGCAGTGGTCCGGAGCAGAGCTTATGTGTGAATAAGTGTAATAAGCTGAGTAATAAATGAACGTGAAACTGAACGTAAAGAGATGTGTTGCCAACATTGTGATTTAGAAACACCAGAGAGGAAAACTGTCCAAGATGTAGACATTTGACAATCCCTTTTCCACGGATGTGACTCGGCATCGTAACGCATGGGTACCAGTGCTTGACCTATGACGTGTTCACGCTGCTTATCAGCCTTGTGCCTGGACGCCTATTCGTCTGTCTGTCTGTGTATGTAACTCGCGCGTTGTATATTTGCTGCGCTCTGCGACCTGCGATGACCGCCTCCGGGCGCCCCTGACACGGCTGTCGTCTCCGTGCGTCCCTGACACGGCTGTCGCCTCCGGGCGCCCCTGACACGGCTGTCGCCTCCGGGCGCCCCTGACACGGCTGTCGCCTCCGGACGCTCCTGACACGGCTGTCGCCTCCGGGCGTCCCTGACACGGCTGTCGCCTCCAGGCGCCCCTGACACGGCTGTCGCCTTTGGGTTTTCCTGATACGGCTGTGGTGACCGCCTCCGGATGCCCCTGACACAGCTGTGATGACCGCCTCAGGGCGCCCCTGACACGGCTGTGATGACCGCCTCCGGATGCCCCTGACACAGCTGTGATGACCGCCTCCGGATGCCCCTGACACGGCTGTGATGACCGCCTCCGGATGCCCCTGACACAGCTGTGGTGACCGCCTCCGGATGCCCCTGACACGGCTGGTGACCGCCTCAGGGCGTCCCTGACACGGCTGCGGTGATGACCGCCTCCGGATGCCCCTGACACAGCTGCGGTGACCGCCGCCTCCGGCGCCCCTGACACGGCTGTCGCCTTTGGGTGTTCCTAATACGGCTGTGGTGACCGCCTCCGGACGTCCCTCACACGGTGGCCTGCCCGCAGTCGCCATCCACGCTCTCCATGATGAGCAGCGTCAACCAGGACGGCGGGCGTCTGCCGCCGATCGGCACCGACCGGTCAGTGACGTCACTGGGAACCGCGCGTCGCGTCGCTGCCGCTCCGTGCCGTTTTAGGCGTTGGCTTGTGTGTGCTCCGGTGGGAATTGACAGCGCTAGGGTTCGATGAAATGACGTATGTGGTGGCCTACCGACTGCATCATATCTACTCTGCATGCTGTCCGGATGGCAGGCCCCTATCTAGGTGACATCGATGCCTGACAAGCGTCACACGACACACAACGATGGTACTTGATGGCGGTGACAACAGTATGCGCCGTCCTCAGGGACGAGAAGCTGTTCCAGCACCTGGGGCGAAGGAGCAGCGTGGACTTTGACAACAAGCGGCCGCAGACGCCGCTAAGCCTGCGCAGTCCGAACAGGTGAGCGTCGTCATGCAGATGAGTGCAGTCTTGTGTCGCAAAGGCCGCTCTTACGACAGCACCTGCGGGAATCTTACAACGCGCTCGGCCTTAGGCGGACTGTTTCGCGAAGTTTGTTGCGAAGATGTAGGACCGCTTACACGTAGGTGGTTAAGTAGAATGCGTTGTTGCATTTTGCGTGCTCGCTCACGCACTGGGACAGCAGCCCACAGCATAATATCTTTCGAAGAAGAACCCTTTCCCTGTTCATCACCATCTTTAACTGGCAAAGTTGCACAGTAACAAGTGAAACGATGGGTACTCTAAAAGGTGGGTACTCTAAAAGTAGTGTTTGGGGGATTGTATCGCTCTCCTAAGGGAATGCTCGCTCCGCCTGAACGCAGAAGCAAGAAGTGATGTACACGTACCGACACTAAGTCCAGATTTAATCAATTTTCGGGATGCTGCATTCAGATACGCTCTAAATTGACAAATATAACGTTATATTAACTTCAAGCAGTCTGTGTATGACGCCTATCAATCTTCAACCCCTTCGTCTGGTTACGCACTGGTTACGCAGTGTTAAACAAGCAATGTCACGTTCGCTTGGCCCCTGCTTGAGCTAGAGGTGATAAAAAGATAAGAGCGCATTTCTTGCAATGCGAAAAGCTAGCAGTACCCGGCTGAAAGTGTCTTGAGAACATTTAAAAAAGATGTCAGGATAATAATCTCATCAACGTCTGGTCCATGAACGGTACACTATCCATGACGTCAACCGCTTGTTACCGTATCGGTTATGCTCCATCAAAGCCCCCTCTCTACATGCGTAACGTAATTGAATGGACGCTCCATAGGTGCACTTTTGGTACTGTCCCTTTACTCCCTCAAAACTCAGGTCTCTCAGCTGGCTGCAGAACGGTGACGGGTGTTTTGCGCGGGTCTTGCAGCTCTGCCAATCCTCAGCTCCCACGGATCCAGTCCAGCTCCTCGCGAAGCGCCCCTGCCTCGCCCACCTCAGACGCCAAGAGCCAATCAGCAGTCACCCGTCTGCCGCGGCTCTGATTTCAAGGCCACGCTTAGCCAATCACCGCCCGGCCGCCGATTCGTTGACCAATCGGCCACAAGCGTTTCTGACGTCACAGCCTTGCCTGCAACCGCCTCACAGACAGAGCGGTGTAAGATTCACTTTGTGTTTGTCCTGTCCGTGTTGGCCTGCCCCTCCGTTACTGTCCCGTTTGCTCGGGGATATTGGTGTTGAGCTACGGTTTTTCTGTGACTTGAAATCTGCCGCGGCCTTGGCCTCACGATTTAAAGGTCATTCTCAGCCTCCAGTACAACCGGTCAACGTAAACTATTTTACGTTGATGCCCTGTCATATAACTTGCTGCTAAATCGACATGTATACCTCTGATGCAGGTCATTGCCATTGGTGCCTTGTCCATAAAGACATCTTTATATATTGGTTGACTGGAAATGCTCTCATCATCTGATGAGCATCTGATATCTGGGCTCCATGACTGATTTTCAGCTGTCAAAATCAACGGAGGTCAAAACAGCTAGTGCGATGGGTTGGAAAAATACGTCACAGACTGACGTCAGCTTTATCAGCAGGGGCGCACTCGCGCCAGAAGAGACGTCCCCTTCATCGATAATGACCGGGATGTTTTATGGGATAATGACCGGGATCGGGATGTTTTAAAATGACGAAATGCTACTCAATCCTGTGGCTTGAGTGGGTGACTGCTGATGGCTTCCGGCTCCTCCTACACGCCTGTCGTGGAACAGCTCACACAGCCATGTTTGGAAGCGACCACATGCCCCTGTCCTCTGGCGTGACCCCACGCAAGCCTCGGTTGGCATCGGCTCAAACATGGCGGCACAGAAGGCTGGTTTGTTTTTAAATTATGTACCACAGTATGCAGTTACAGCTATTTCGCCCTCTTTCTAGACGAGTGCGTACACTTGGAGCCTTTCCTGATCAGACTGTGTGAAAAAGGTAGTCCTGCTATGGCCCTAAAATATTTCCAACTATGTCTCGTGCCGAATTTCCAAGGATTTCGCAGTATTTGGCTTTTGATTAAAAGCTGAGACGTTGTGCAACTGAGAGAGAATCAGACTTCATGTCTTGGCCCAGTCAAACCAAGTTGCACGGTGTGATAGAAAAAAGGGCTAAATGGCATTAGCTATTAAAAAAACGAGGTCTTTTGGAGCTAGGTCTGCGACTGAAATCGGCTGAAAACCGAAGCTATTATATAAGAAGAAATGGCGCTAACGAGCAGTGACAATAAGCCACCTCGTCGTTGCTGCAATACATACAGAGTGTGGGTTGCATTGCGATTATGCACCCGCTAATGCTTCATTCTGTCGTCAGAATTCTCTGTTGTGCCAGTGTTCGACAGCTTGTCTCGTGAAAGTTAATTTTTCCATGTGTCAACACATTCCTCATCCATCTCTTAATTCTTCTTCGCCGACTTGCCTGTTTTGGCGGTAAAGTCCTACGCTCCTGTTTTGCTCCATAAAACTTTTTCCGCAAATTTTCATGTTATACAAACCCACCGGTATGTTACAACAACCGCTCTGCACGTTAGCTGGTTGTGTTCCTGGCTTCGATTTTCGCTCACCCATTCAGTTTCTACCTTTACGAGTCCTTGTCTGCCGTGCTTGCTCACGTTTTCGCCGCTTTTGCCGCGCGAGCTCCGCCGCCCGCCCGCTGTCCGGCCTCGGGCGCCCCTCCACCCCTCGGCGTCGCTGTTCCGCTGTCCGGCGCCGCTGACGGCGCGCGCGGGCCGGCCACAGCTCTGTGCCCAGCTCCGCCGCCTCGCCCCTCCGCCTGCCTCCGATCCGGATCAGCAGGTCGCCCGACTCGCCACCCTCGTCAGCTGACCGGCGCGAGATGCGCGACAGCGTGCACGGCATTCAGTCAGTAGCCGGCAGGTGAGGGTTGTGGGCCTGTGACCGGCGGTGTCGCGGGATCGGACCCGCCACCGGCAGTTTTTTGGGTCGCGTGCTTCGGTTGCCGTACTGATTACAGTGTTGATGTATGACCGTAAAAATCAGGTGCGTCGTTGAGGACATAATACATTTATCATGCTTTGGCAAGCAGATGCCACTCAGTGATTTCTGATTGACCACATCCTAACGTGTTTTCTTGTCAACGTCCGAAAGGGCGTGTAGGGTGAATCAAATTCCACCATAGTATTTTTCAACCAGGCGTGGGCAATGCGAGCGGTTTATTAATTTTGGACCAGTTTTTAAAGCGCTGGCTGCACACGGATACGTAAGAGGGATTCTGCCAAGCTACAGTTTGCGGCCGGCCTTGAAGGCAGATGCTCCAGTTTTCGATAAGTGTTCGTATCTATTATCTTGCACCCTTTTCGAAGCGTTTTGGGTTACTTCTGCAGGCAGAGTATGCCCTTTCTAGTTTTGACACGTGTCTTGTTTGTTTATAGCCATTTGTTGATGTCCACGAGCATTTGGCCGCTCTGTATTTCGTGGCCCAGATCGTCCAGCAGGCCCAGGGGCCCGTGACCGATCCCCAACAGCCTTCACCTGTGGCAGGGTCCTGTCAGTTCCAGGGTTCCGTGACAGGCCTCCAACAGCCCTTCACCTGTGGCCAGGGTCCTGACAGTTCAAGGATCCGTGACCGGTCTCCAACAGCCCTTCACCTGTGGCCAGGATCCTGACAGTTCTGAGGATCCGTGAACGGTCTCCAACAGCCCTTCACCTGTCGCCAGGGTCCTGTCAGTTCCAGGGGTCCGTGGGCCGATCTCCAGGGGCCCTTCACCTGTGGCCAGGATCTTGTCAGTTCCGAGGGTCCGTGACCGGTCTCCAACGGCCCTCTACCTGTGACCAGGGTCCTGTCAGGCACATGATCGACCCTGGCAGCATCAACGAGTCATCGCTACTTACCACTGTGACCCATTCACCAACCATGCAGGCCCTCCTAGATCAGCCACGATCAGCCAGGGAAGGCCTCTGGTGGTCTCCGGTCTTCTGACCATCTCAGGAACCCCGATCTTTTCGGGCCCCCCGCTCACTTACGGCCCCCCAACCGCCACAGGCCCTTGTCCTCTCGAAGCCCCTCGGTGTGTTCCAGAAATCCAATCCGTCTAAAAACAACAAAACATTCCACATCGTGGGAGTTTTCACACTAGGATGCAGATGGAGTGGGAAGGGGGACTGGGGCCCCAATTACACCCCTGTTCCGCAGAGTGGCCTCTCCTGAGCCTCTCGAGAGTCTCAGGGAGGCGGTCCACGCTTCAGCTCTCCCCGACCAAGCCACTGCTGTAAAAGTCCCGATCGTAACCGGGATTTCAGCAATGTCTTGCGACGTCCGCAGGCGAAGACGGCGCGGAAGTAGGCGACCAGGGTCCATGGATGAGGGCAACACAAGCCGACGCGGCAGCTTCGCTAATGGGTGAGTGAGTGGTGGCAGGTGTGCCTCAGTGGCCGTTCGTACAACACGCACTTTGTGACGCGTCAGCTGCCACACAGCAGGGACGTAGCCAACAGATGGGCGAAGGGGGCCTGCCCCCACTCTCGCCCTCCTGAGCCAAGAGTTTCACACGATATTTTATTATTAGTATTATTATTTCACATGATTATTTTGTTTCGCAAGATTTACACCTACTGGGCCATTCCACAAGAGTTTAGTGACAATTCGCATGATCTCGCAAAACTTTGACGTCTGGGTTCCTCCCCGAGCTAGAAACTCGAAACAGTGCAGGCGCCAACAATGCAGCTACTATGATCCGCCCAGTCAGCAGTCAAGACCAGCAGGCTGACCGGCACGTTGACCTAACAGAGCCGCCCGCGTATTTCGGTGCCCCCTTCCCCCCTGCGTGGTGCACCCCCACCGGCGCTTGGTCTGATGGCGGAAGTGCGTGTCCTCAGGAGCGGAATGCGTCGCTGGGGCAGCTCGGGTGACCTGGAGTCGGCGACCGGTGCCGGCCGGCGCTCCTCCCTGCTGACCGAGATGCGGCACGCCGACCGTCGCACCAGGTGAGCGCCTGCCGGTTGGCGCCCCGGCCGCGGCAGAAAACTGACGTCAGATGTGGGAAACGAGGGTTGTTCGCTGCCGGTAACGATACGCGCTGGAGGCCTTTTATTAGATAATACTTCGGTCGCGATCGCGGTCTAGGTCGTAAGAGGAAAGAAAGGAGCTTGTGTAACTCTTACGGTATAAATTATTACACCTACGACGACCTTCTGCGTTGAAAGAAGGGGCTTAAGAACCTCAGCGCGATTAAAAAAAAAACATCTGACCTGCAGCAGAGCCTCTTGTTCGCAGCACCCAATAGGCAAGGTGACGTCGCCAGCACCTTGCTCCACTCACCCCAGTGACTTTTTCCGAAACTGTGAAATCGGACACACAACTGGAGGGATGGAAGTAGCTTCCCTGCCTCCTCCATACTCCTGCGTCGCTGTGGTGGGTTCGGACCACACTGTGACGTCACCCACCTCCGTGTGTGACGTCACCCGCCCCTGCTCTGTGTTGGCCAGGTCCAGCCGGCGCCGCCAGTCGATGGTGCAGTCGGACGACGAGTTTGACGACTCCCGCCTGCCGTCCGTCCGGCAGGCGGCCGGCGGCCGGCGACGCGCCTCCGTAGCGCGAGACAACGGCGTCAAGACGCGTCAGTATACCCGCCGCCGCCGCCGGCACGGCTGCGGCAGAGGGTCGTGCGTGGCGTGCGTGCGTGCGTGCGTGTGTGCGTGCGTGCGTATACGTGTGTGGAGGGGGAGATGGAGGGTGTGGGTGAGTTCCTGTTGGGGGGGGGGGGGGAGGGGGAGACGCGTACCGTTACGTGCCGAGTAAACGGCGCAAATGTCTCCTCTCTTGGTCATCAAATTCGTGGACAAATATCGCGTGGACGCGCATTTTGAAAGACAATAAGTGATGCTGTTTGTTCCCAAATCTACGAAAGATGAAGTGGAATGCTTTGTTATGCTGCGGGCTAAAGATAAAGATAAGTGAATTTCTGTTTGCGCCTAGGTGAATGGCATGTGCCGTTGCATCACAAATTACATTAGATTAGGCGTTCTGGTAGGCCAGAGGCGCTAGCACCAAGTGCGATGCCTGACAGTTTACAAGAGTTTGGAAAGGGTCAGAGCATGGAAAAGGCTGGGGCAAAAGCGGGGCCAAGAGAACGAAGAGGCTGAGAGCCAGCGGCGGCTGCGACAGGGAGGCAGACGGGGATGGCAGTCTCCACGGAGCCCCTCAAGCCTGTCTGAGAACTTGGCTGTAGCGACCTGAGACGTGTGCGCAGTGGAATGTGGGGTGAATGGAAAGAAGATGAGTACCAGGTGGGATGTGGAAGGTAAGATTCGTATGTAACAGGATGTGAGAGAGGGGAGGCACATGCCATGGACCTTGGAAAGGGGAGCACGTCTAATAGTGCTTGGGATAGGGAAGCTGCGTGCAGTGAGATGTGGGATGATGTCAGACAGGACGATGTGGTGCATGAGAGGAAATCTTACTGTGATGGTCTGTGAGAGGAGGCATATTTGCGATACGCAGATTTGGAGAGCAAGCATGCATGCAAGTTTGTTTGGTGGAGGGAGTACGTATATGGTCTAGTGTGCGTCGTGCGGTGTTTACAGCACATGGTATCCAAGGAACAACGTTCTGGGTCCGTTCGATATGTTTTTGTTTGTGGCAGATGCTTTGGCTGATGCAGATGCAACTGGCCGTCTCTAGCCGGCGTTGCCCTGCGTTTCAGTGCCGTCCATCAACGGCACGCAGACGAGCAGGAGGCGGAGCGTGCGGAAGCGATCCAAGTCCGAGGAACCGCCAGTCGATCGTCAGCTTCGCCCTAATGCACTGACGGGACGGTCTGATGCCTTGAACACGCTCCTGTGCGTTGCCGCAACCGCCAGTGGCGACATCTATCGGCGACACCGACGTTAATACTTGGCGGCGGCAGACGCTGTCGGCCAGCGTCCGTCCACGCCGCTGCCAGGCGATAGCTGGCCTTTTCCCCAGGGGCGGATGATGACGTCACCATCTCAGCGGAGGGCCAAGAGGGAGCCCGCAGGTACGTCTCGGACGGCGGCGGGGGGGGGGGGGGGGTGGGGGTGGGGTGGGGGGGGGGATCGGGGGTGGGGCAGGTGTTGCGTGACGGTGTGACGACCTCGTGACGCTCGACTGACGTTTGATTGCGTGTCGTCCGGCCCCGAGTGATGTCCTGGCCAGGCAGCGTGCCGGCCACGCGCGGACCGTGTTGACCGCACTTCTTCCTGCGTCGGCGCCCCGCGGGGCCCGTCGGGTCCGCCCGTCCGGGCCGGGCAGCGGGCAGTTTGGGTGAGCTGGCGCCCTCCAAAGCGCATTCAGTGCCCTACCCCTAGCTTCTTTACCGCGCTATGTGCCACGTGACATGGGGTGCGAGCGTTTTGCGAGGACGCCTAGTGTTATCGGGGGTGGCATTCGCAGTGCCCTCTATTTCGGTGGTCAAAGTGATATTTTGTTATCGCTGCACGTCCTGACAAAGTTGTGAATTCTATTCGATTTATCTCGTTTGAAGTGATGTTAGCTGTGTTAAAGGCCTTCGCAATAAAATAAACCTCATCGGAGATGCTGAGTGACCAAGTTTATGAATATGCTCAAACTGGGGCAGAAAAAGACGGCAATTCAGGACACTTGCGTGGAACGCTTGGAGATACAGCTAGTTTGTGAGTGACTTCATGTGAACTTTTAGTCAGCCCCACAGTTTGCGAGTTTTCCCTTAGTCAAAGTGAAACAAATTCCTTTCAGCATGAGTTCTGAGCGAAAAGGAGTCGTAACCGAGTCAACCAAATCATTGGTGGATCACTCGTGCCGACATGTAAGCAGAAGCATACACTAAAGATGGCAACCAACACGTGCATCCAGCTGCCCTGCCTTCGTCACTGCAGACAGCCGGCTCTGCGGGTACTCAGCCTCCGCCAGCGAGGTGCTCTCGGGGCCGCTCCCTCCCCCACAGCACGAGGTACCGGCAGCGGCTGGGGCGGGTGATATCTCCTGCCAATCCGGCCCTGCGCTGCGCGCTCTGAGTTGTGCGTGCTCAACGCACAAAGGAGGGAAGGAGACGCAGGCACGGCGCCAAGTGGAGGACAAAATAATGCTGAGTATATGAGTATTGCACTATCTGCCTCCACTCATCCCCCTTCCCACAAGTGGTATATCATATAGGAGTTGTGCTTACCACCACATTTATTCGGCCGCTGGAGCCTCCTCTGCTGGGGCCTTCTCTGCTGGAGCTTCCCTCTGCTGGAGCTTCCTCCGCTGGAGCTTCCTCTGTTGGAGCTTCCTCTGCTGGGGCCTCTTCTGCTGAAGCTTCCTCTGCTGGGGCTTCCTCTGCTGGGGCTTCTTCTGCTGGAGCTTCCTCTGCTGGAGCTTCCTCTGCTGGAGCTTCCTCTGCTGGGGCTTCTTCTGCTGAGGCCTCCTCTGCTGGGGCTTCCTTTGCTGGAGCTTCCTCTGCTGGGGCCTCCTCTGCCTGGAACTTCTGCTGGAGCCTCTTCTGCTGGAGCCTCTTCTGCTGGAGCTCTTCTGCTGGAGACCCTTCTGCTGGAGCTTCTGCTGGAGCTTGCTCTGCTGGAGCCTCCTCTGCTATGGCAGCGCCTTCCGGAGGAGTTCCTTCAGCGGCTGGTGTTGCGTCTGTGGCACCCTCCGTTGCATCGGTTTCATCTGCCGGCGCCGCCCCCTCGGCAGCATCCTCCGCAGGTGGCGCCCCCTCGGCAGCACCCTCAGCAGCACCTTCCACCGGCGGCGCCTCCTCGGCAGCACCCTCCGCCGATGGCGCCCCCTCCACCGGCGGCGCCCCCTCTGCAGCACCCTCCGCCGGCGGCGCCCCCTCGGCAGCACCCTCCGCCGGCGGCGCCCCCTCGGCAGCACCCTCCGCCGGCGGCGCTCCTTCAGCAGCACCCTCCGCCGGCGGCGCTCCTTCAGCAGCACCCTCCGCCGGCGGCGCTCCTTCAGCAGCACCCTCCGCCGGCGGCGCCCCCTCGGCAGCACCCTCCGCCGGCGGCGCCCCCTCTGCAGCACCCTCCGCCGGCGGCGCCTCCTCGGCAGCACCCTCCGCTGGTGGTGCGCCCTCTGCAGGTGGGGCCAGCAGAGTGTCGATCTCGACACCCCAAGAGGCAAACACCAGCTTGGCGTCCAGGTCGGCTTGAGCTGGGGACGACAGAGGGATTTCATGACGGGTGTGCGGTTTTTACAGGCTTGCTCACTGGGCGTACAACAATAACACAGCGCACATGTCGCACTAGCACAGTGTCCTCTACGCTACACGGGCGAGCCCGAGAGCTTGTACTGACACACTACGTCTACAGGCATCAAACAACGGCCGCTGAAATCCAGGTCCCACACTTCCTGCGTTTCCAATGCAACTTCCTGGGTTTCCAACACGAGTTTAAATACTAGGGCACACACATTTCTCTCAGTCTCGGGTACATTAACTGGCGGCAGTCCAGCGAGGGAGTCCTGCCGTGTCTGCCCTGCGCCCGGTCCAGAGCGGCTCGCCGCCGCGTCCCCACTCACCGGGGCCGTCGGACAGGTAGAGCGGGTCCATGTTGACCATGGCGGAGAGGGCGGCGTCGCCGGCGCACGCCAGTGCCACCGCGTACACCGGCTCCGCCACCAGCTCTGGGATCTGGCTCTGGCCGCCCTCCAGGCTGGCCACCAGCTGCTCGGCTACCTGGCGGCGGCGCGCGGGGCGGGGCGGTGACGGCCGTCTGCCAGGTGCGCGCCGCGGAGCGCTCGGCGCCTGGCGGCGGCGCGGCGCGGCGGGGCGGGGCGGGGCGCGGCGCGGCGCGGCGCGGCAGGGCGCGGCGGGGCGATAGCGGCTGCCTGTGGGCTGCGCGCCACGGGCCGATCCGCGCCTGGCGACCGGCCGCTCGGCGCGGCGACCGGGCCGGCGGTGCGGCCCGGGACGCGTCTGGTCGGAACAGTCGGCGCCACGGAGGGATACCGTTCGCCGGATGATGCTAACATGATGGGTCTGGTTCGAGTGTTCGCATCTGTGTGACGGTGGTGGCCGTCATATTTTCATCTTTGCCGCGAATAAAGGGTGAGCAGAGACAGGATCCTGCTGAAGGAAGCCAAATCTTGCAGAGTTGTGAAGTTTTGGAAAGAACGTTCACGAAGGAATGCTCATGAATGCCATGGAGATGCTCAATGAATGACACGAGAATGTTTCATAAATGACACGAGAATGTTCATAAAAGACACGAGAATGTTCAATCAGCATTGTCCACTCCTGGCAAAGACCCGTGTTTCCAAAGCTCGCAGAATCAAACGGCTAGTGCTGTGACCACGAGTTCATAAGCAAAACAGGTCTTTCCCCCGAACAAACAACTCACTCAGCAGCCAAACGGAGGGTTCTCCACATAAGCCAGCCGCAGTTCTCGAGGCATCAGCGTACCTCCTCTATGAGGGCGTCGGAGCCCGAGTGCAGGACGCGGAACCCGGCGTCGACGAGCAGCTGCGGCGCCTCCTCACGGCTGGCCGGGAAGATGACGAACGCCACCTGCTCCGCCGGCGGCGCCGGCGCCGCCCGGTACAGCTCGGGGAAGTACTTGCGCAGGGCGGCCCACTGCGACGCGCGGACACAACGCGTCACGCCGCCGGGCGGCGTACTGACCGCGAGCAGCCCAGGGCGGGAGGGCGCGACAGGCGGCGCCGGGGGCCCAGTTTGCCGGAGCAGCGTCGCAGACCTGGAGGTTCTGGTTCTCACCCAGTTGTGTGGTCAGCATCGTCACCAGCACTCTGGCCTCGGCGTCGCCCACCGGAGTCTACCGCATCGTCTGATGGGCGCGGCAGATGCGTGCGAAGGGGCGCAGGCACCCCCCCCCCCCCCACCCCCCACCATCACAGCCCAACTTCATGCATGGCCAGTTTGACGTTTCTAGGAAGAAACGTTAGTCAGTCATACTGTCAGGCATGGCACGGCCAAACGCGCGCCAGCTGAGCCTCACCTGACCGAGCACGGTAGGAGGTGTCCACGCGGCAGGACTGAGGTCCTCCAGCAGCTCCTGCAGCTGCTCTTCGATGGTCGGCAGGGGCTCGCCCTCCTCTTCCTCCGCTGGCGCTTCCTCCGCTGGTGCCTCATCTGCTGGAGCCTCCTCCGCTGGAGCCTCCTCCGCTGGTGCATCCTCCGCTGGCGGCTCCTCCGCTGGCGGCTCCTCCTCCGCTGCACCATCCTCGCCCTCCTCTCCGCTCTCGGCCGCCTCGCCATCCGCTGACTGGTCACCACCCTCCTGCCCTCCAGCGGCGGCCGGCGCAACTTCAGCTTCCAGCTGGATCTCGGGAGGCGGCGCTGGTGCTTGGCCCAGGTACAGGGTGAGCCAGCGGTAGGGTTTGTCTTCGCTGTATTCCGAGTCCAAGATGGCGACCAGGGCGCACTGCCGGGCACACACGGATCGCATAAAGTTGCACCTGCACGTTAAAATTGCACGTAAAATTGCCAACCTGCACCGTCACTCCATTAAACGCGCCGCGCTGGACGTGCTAACGCGATTACGAGCCAATGTGCATGGTGTAAGAGGGAGGGGAGAGAGAGGGAGCCCGTGGATGCCATGCGACCTTCACCTTCCGAAAATGCTGCACATTAACCCTAACGCTAGGCATTTGGTAAGACATGCAAAGCACCGGCTCCAAAATTGGTTTTTATCGCACTTTACCTGTGCCAATGTGAGTTACACTCAACATTCATCTACATATGTTGGAATCCCCTGCATTTGCTTTCCAAATGTAACCTCGACTAACCTCTCCCTCCAGCATCATGTCCTTGACCGCTTGTCTCTTGGCCAGTATTTCCGGGTCCTCCTCCTCGGGCTCCGCCGGCTCGCCGCCACCCCCGCCGTCGCCCTCGGCGTCGGCCGCCTCCGCGTCAGCCGGCTGGTCCGGGGCGTCGGCATCCTCCTCCGAAGGCTGTTCGTCACCGGTGTCCTGTCCGCCGGCCTCGTCGGCGTCCTCAGCCGGCGGCTCCGAATCCGCCGCCACGACTGTCGACGGCACCGTGCAGAGGGGGGGGGGGGGGGAGAAAGTGACAGGAGAGAGAGAGAGAGAGAAGGGGAGAGGGAGGATGGTCAGAGGGAGTTTTATGGCGACGCGACGGGGAAACACCTGACTTCTTGCAATATTCTTTCGCTTATGCCAGTAAGTAGCATGTTTCAAAAACCAGTTTGGAATGCAAAGGTAATTTGAAAGCCACAGTAGACACCCCAAGCACAGGGGGGGGGGGGGGGATCCCTAGAACCTATGTCTCCATCAATACCACTAACAGTACCTATACTGTGCAAAACCGCAAAACCGATTCTTACACAGCAGAACGGATCCGTGACACGGAAAAAATGGCGACAAAGTAATTTGTAAACCTCAGTGGGGACTTCAAACCACTAGCCTGTATCGTTGGTTGCGTTATTTTCCGCTGTTCTGTTTGGTTACACTTTAAAGCGGCCCCCACGCGCTCATGTTACATCACAGTTCAGCACATCCTGAACTGTGACGTCACATGACCTAGCTTCATTCCCCGACATTAAACCGGGCGCTGCGTCCGTGTTGAGAGCCCCCAGCGACGAGAGCGTAGCGGCACTCACCGGGCTCCGGCGGCGGACCCAGCAGCAGGGCGTCCACCTCCTCCTCGGAGAGCACCGCACACGTCTCCGCCCCGCTGGTGAAGCCACGCGCGTCCAGCACGGCCTGGATCTCCTCCTGCCTGCAGACAACATTAGTGGCCGGTCCAGGCGGGGCAGACTGTTCCGATGCGACAGCGCTGTTGTCTGTGATGATGGTGATGGAAATGAGCGGGTTACATTATCCTCGGCACGGACGCGTGGCATGATCAGGCTGCTTCCCTGCATGCAGTGCTTGAACTTTCAACCAAACGATACAACAAAGCGCTGGAAGCGTCAGCATATAACAATGACGTAACGTGTCGCTGTGGCCTCCCAGACTACTGAAGCACCAGCGTCGGTCCGTATGTCAGCGTTGTATATCACATCGCACTGCATCAGTCGTATCTCGAACAAAGCACGGCAGCCATCGGACGAAATCGGACGCGCTGTGGCCGTTTCGCATACCGCAGACTAGCAATGCACTTTGCGTTAGGTGCACGCAGGCCACACCTTGGAACGCCACTTGTGCACAACGTCCGCCGCCCTGCAGCGTTGACCCCTTTCAAAGGACACTAACGTGAGCAGACTGGCGCGAGCACATCACCCTGAGAACACTGACGCGAGCACCTCGACGCGAGCGTGCTTCCGCGTCCGACCGAGAGCGCGCCACCGCGCCGGCGCCGGCTCGTCCTCCGCGCCGACCGACCGACCTGTCCCTGACGGCGGCCGCCACCACCAGCAGGGCGTACGGCGCCAGGGCGCGGCGCACGCGCAGCTCCGAGCGCTGGCGGCGGGCGTTGAGCGCCGCCGCCGTCTCGGCCTCGTCCTCGACCACCGGCACCTCGGGCAGCTCCACCTCGGCCGGCGCGTCGCACTCGAGGGTGATGGTGACGCGCTGCCGCTCGCCTGCCAGCACCTGACGCCGGAGGGGGGGGGGGGGGGGCTTTCAGAGACGCCGCAAGGGAGGGCGTTCAGGGGCACCACGAGAGGAGGGTTCAAGGCGCCGCGGGGGGCGCTCAGGGGCGCCAATGGGAGCTCTCAGAGGCGCCGCTGGGGAGGGGGGGGGGCAATCAGGAGCGCTGCGGGAGGAGTGCTAAGGAGCGCCGGGGGGGGGGGGGGGGGGTCAGGGGCGAGACGGGCCGACGGCACCATCCGCTGTCGCCGCGAATGTCGTGGCGAAGAGTGCGGTGGCAGCGGAGCAGTACCCAGCAGTGAGCAGCAGTGGAGCAGTGAAGAGTACCCAGCAGCAGGGCAGGGTGTGGGAAAATGCCTCGCACGCCCAGTATGTGTTTTATGCTAAAAGTCAATGTCTGGAGTGTCCCGGCCCTCTCCTTTACGACCTCTAACAAATGTGTAACCTTTTGGGCTTGAGACGTACCTGGCATTTTGATGCAGCGCAGCATCTACTAACCACCCTTGCCTCCACCATCCCAACATCAGAAAACCCGTGGCCGATACCTCACCGCTTAACCTTCGTTCTTGATTGTCCTTGGGTTCCGTGCCCGCCATCAAAACATCCCGACCAGGCCAGCTCACACCGCCGGTGCCGCCACCCGCTACCCGCCACCCGCCACCCGCCGCCCATCAACCGCGACCCGCTACCCGCCACCCGCCGCCCGCCATCCGCCACCCGTCAACCGCCACCCGCTACCCGCCACCCGCCGCCCGCCATCCGCCACCCGTCAACCGCCACCCGCTACCTGCCACCCGTCAACCGCTACCCGTCAACCGCCTCCCGGCACCCGCCGGCCGCCCGCGCCGCACCTTCTTCTCAATATCGAGCTCCTCCAGAATCTTGCTGGCCAGCAGCGGCAGGTGGGCGCCGCGCAGCTGGTAGACGGCGTTGCCCGAGCCATAGAAGATCCAGAGCGGTTCGCAGCGGCCGCGGAACGCCTCCAGCGCGTCGATCGCGTCTGACCGGGCCGTTACGAAGTGCAGCATGTCGTCGCCCAGCTCGAACTTGATCTGTCGGCGGCGGCGGTCCGTCAGCCGTAGGCTGGGGACGAGGTGCGTGGGGGTGGGTCCATCTGGCGGACTGGGGCGCAGTTGGGCGGCTCGGGCTCGGCGCACAACACTTCTGAGGAGGCCAGCCGGTCTGAACAGCCCACGTCAGATTACGTCTGATTAAGGCTATTTAGACTAAATAGGGCAAAGTGTATGTGGGGAGGAACGGCCCTCGAGTTAGCCAGGATCTATGGCGTTAACTTTGTTCTCACGTTGGGCAGATGATCGCCAAAACGTGTTTTAGCAATTGTTTCTCGCAATGTTCTCAGTTTACATGGCTTATCCATATGTCGTAAACGTATCGGATGAAAGGCATTTTTCCTTCGGCTCGAAATTGTTATGATCTTCTCGGCATGCCAACGTGCCTCCCAGACACTTGTCACAAGTCCAAAAACGATCAGATGGAAAATTGCGGCCCACAACTTCAAGGACTATCCAAACTTGCATGATTGCATTAGCTAACTCTCCACTCAAACCTGGGTAAACAAGCGAACCGACCTCCTCAGTCCACGCTCCACACGCACTGACCGAAAACTGACTGTCTGCCATCAATCTAAACTGCGCTCATGCACGCAGTCGTCGACAGCGACGCGTCGACGGACAGAGGGCCAGCAGCCGGACGTCTGCCGCACACACCTTCTTCAGCATCCCCAGCATGGAGACGCAGGGGCCACACCACGCCGGGTACACGTCGACAACAGTCAGGCCGGGCTTGGAGATCTCCTGTTCCCACTCTTCCTGTGTGGTGACATCCGTCTGGATCTGGATCAGATCCCTCTTGCGGGCCATCTGGCGGTACAAAGGACAGGTGCAACAGATATACGTGTGCGCGTAGGGGTGGAACCGCGGCAACGTAAGTTTTGTGGAAATTAACTCCAATCCAGGCGTCCAGAAGTCGCTGGGGCTTAGTTCTAACTTTTGCATACAAAGTCTGTTAAGTCAAGCCACGATGCATGTAGAATACAGCATACGTTAGCCTCACAACATAGGCTAGGTACCTACCTTCGGTATATGTTAGTTATGCTATGCCCGTGTACACATGTAAATTGTCTTGTTCATTTCCAAGTGGTGCGATCGTTCCAATGAGTGTGACTGCCTGAAAGGAGCCGGCATAAGTGCCGACGTCCTTAACGCAAGAACAGTTTGACGCAACCAAGCCCCCAAAGCTTACCTTTTTGACCGATTAGATCTGTTGGACTATGAATACGTTGGACATGATCAGCTTGTGTGAACATTGGGCACCATGTTGGAAAATATTTCGGTATAATTGCTACATCACAAACGTGCAGCACCCGAGCTTTTTTGGACTATCTGGACTTGTCCGCACCCTCCCGAAGCATTTTACCCGATCTGAATCATGTCATCATGAGCCCGTTGCCATGGCAACACTAACGAACTATAAGTTTTTGGAATGATCACTAGATGTCAGCACCAATGTGACACTACAGAATTCTATTTGGGGTAGGGCCGCACGTACCTAACCTTAGGACTTTTACGACGCGTTTACCTGCGAGCAGTAGCCACTTTCTTGATTTAGATTCGCTAATTCTAGCGCTGGGGGTAGGGAGAGGCAACGAAAGGTTAAGCCGGCAGCCGGAGCCACGTCCACGACTCCAGCCGAGATCGTGGGTGAATGCCCGGCCGACGGCCTGGTATCGCCATCACTAAAAGATGTCGCTGATTTCTGTTCGGCCTGCGTCTGCTCTCAGCATTTTTGCGTTCTGCGATGTTGTTGCAATTGACTGCAGCCAGGGCGTCCCGCGTCTATGTCTAACTCAACATGACGTAGCATGTTCATTTCGTATCTATTGGGGCTAGATCAAATGTGCACTGCGTGTAACAAGCGGAGGGCGTATGACCCGGAAGCGAGGATGGTCAGTGACCTTATGTCTATAATCTCGGCTTGAGCGACGTCGATGTGTTCGATAGACCTGAATGTCTTTCAACCGCTGTCTTGACACCGCTGAGCTCTACAAAAAGGGAGACAGTTGTTTGAGCATCGCTGTCCCCGTCGTTATTGGGGCTTTACGACCCACCCAGCTGCTAAGGCTATATGGCGTCGCCTGACTCCCACCCTGGTAGGAAGGGCGGGCACCGCGGGGAATCGATTCCCGTACCTCTGGTTGCCCAGACACAGTGGTTAACGAAGACGCCTTAACCACTATACTACCGGTACCTCCCCATCACTGTCGCCACCGTCGCTAGCCTGCTCTTGCTTTCACTGCTCTTGCCTTCACAACTGTCGCACCGGCGCCAAAAACAAGGTGCAGAAATGCCGTGGTTTATTACGACGGTCCCGCAGTACGTGCCATACAAGTGCCAGCCGAATTCCTAACTTGATCCCCGGGCACATCCAAAACAGACACTCGGTCTACGAAAGCCCGACTACAAGGCTACTGTACACCGTTAATCAAGTTTCCATCATGAGTTCACAGACCGTCAGTAGTTCACCACGGTGTGCGGAGCAATCGATGATGTATATCTTCATAAACGCGGCAACATTCACTACAAAATAACGGCCACTTACCATCATGTCCGCAAATACCATTTCCAGTTTATGTACACGCAGATATCGCGAATGTAGTAGATATTACAGGCGCCTTCCCGGGTTCCATCATGCCAGCCCGTTGGGTAGTCAATATACATGTTGAGGATACTAAGTTGGCGATTGAGTCATTTTCACAACAGGGTAATGCAGCGCAGCAGCAAAAACCTAACTCCGCCGGGACAATAAGTGAAACCCCATGTAGCTCACACTTCGACATTGCACTGTCTATGGCTGATGCCGATTGCTTCATCGACGTGTAAATATCATGCCCGGCACCTAGCGGTTACATGGCCAAGCACAAGTGCTGGTGCAATCCACGGCGCGGCGCACCCCGTCACGACACCTGTTCCACGCCCCGTCGTCTGCTGCGGCGTCCTGCACCGCCGGGTCGCGCGGACGGGTCCGAGCCCGTCACCCCCCCCCCCCCCCCCCGACGCCACGTCCGGAAGTCCTGTACCGGACCCCGGAGGCCGCGACAGCCGCGGCCCAGGGACCTACGCCCGAGACGACGGCTGACCCCGCGGAGCCACGGCACCGGCGGCCGGGGCCGCGGCGACGGCGAACGGACGACCTCCTCACCCCAGCCTCCCACCACACGCTCAGTGCGCCCAACCCGCCGGACACAGCCTGACGAGCGTCCACCCGTCCCGATCCAGCCCGCGCCCGGGCGGCGGCCGGCGCCCAGCGAGCGGTCCAGCCGCGTCGCCCCAGCCGCAGGCCGTGGCAGACCAACACCAGCTTGCGCGCACCACCCCCACCTGGCGGCCTCCTCACAGCAAGGCCCGACGCGCGGCGGCCGCGCTGGCCGGTTTGTCTGGTGCCACGCCGGTGAGCACAAGGCGGCCCGGCGCGGTCCCGGGGCGCGCCAGATCGGCGCCGACATCCGCGGTACCTCTCCCGCCGACTGACGAGCCGGTCTTCGCCCGCCGCCCAGCCGGCGCGCGGCCTCCACCGAGCCGCCTCAGCCCGACCGACGAAAGGCATGAGGGACGCCGGCCCGCCGGCCCCACGGCGCGGCGCGCAGGCCCCCCCCCCCCCGGGGCCCGGCCCAGACGCCACTCGAGACGCTCCGCCGACGGCGGGTCCCACTCCCGGTCCTCGCACTCGGCGTCACGCGCGCACATCGCCGCGTCCGCCGCCCTAGCGCGCCGCCGGTCACGCGCAGCAGCGCACGCACGCCACCATGCGGACACGTGCGCAGCATGGCACGCACATCGGCGCACCGCGCCCGGACACCTCCCGCGTCTAGCTGACGGCCGGCCTGTCGCCGGCGCGGCGGCACCTCGGCCCAGCCCTCCCCGCCGCCGTGGTGTGTCGCCCACGCCCACCGCCTCAGCGCCCCCCCCCCCCCCCCTCACCGGCGTTAGGCGGAGCTCCCGGTCGCCGGCGGCGACGGGAAGGGGGGGGGGGAGGGGTGCCCAGCGTCGCCTAGTCTTCCGTGGTGATGTTGCGGAAGAGGGTAGGTGAGGCTTTCCTTGTTGTGCAGGCGGCGGATGGCCTCGGCCAGCAGGATACTGACGTCCACCGTCTTGATCTTGTGGCAGTGGATCTTCTGCACGTCGTGCGGCACCGTGTTGGTGACTACCACCTGGCGGCGGCGGCGAGCTGGTGACGTCGGCCCGCCGGCGTCGCGAGGCAGTGTGCTGGCGATTGCCAACTCCGTGCACAAGGACGTCGACCCGCGCCGACGAGCAACGGTCCGGACGCGAGTGCACCACGACGAAACGAAAGCTCATCGAATACATGACATGTGATCTGGGTAACAGTCGGTATGAAGGGTTTGCCAGGCAGATGGACGACGCGGGCCACCGCGAGGCAAAGGCCGATGAAAGACGCGATCTGGGTGAGGTTTAGTGCGTGCGGCCAGCTAAGTTGATTTCACCCTTTGCGCGCGCCATGTGTCGCACCGCACAGAAAACCAAGTTCCGAGTCCAAAAGCTCAGCCCGAGCCGGCACAGACAACCATCAACACCAGGTGTGAGCATGCGAGCAGAGGTGACGGGGCGAAGGGCGGCCGGCCGCGGGTGGGGGTGGGGGTGGGGGTAGGGGTCACCTCGTCTATGGCCGACTCCTCGATGAGGCGCGGCGCGTCAGCCGACAGCAGGCCGTGGGTGGCCAGCACGTAGATCTTGTAGGCGCCGCGCTCTTTCAGCATCTCCGCCGCCGCCACGAACGAGCGCACGTCGTCGATCATGTCGTCCTGCCGGCACGCAGGTCCGGGTCAGGTCAGGTCAGGTCATGTCAGCGACCGGTCGCGGCGGGGCGGTCGTCTTGCCGCCCTGCCGTCGGCGGAACCCCAGTCGTATCGCGGGCTTAGAACACTGCCAGTCAGCTACTCTCCCCCCCCCCCCCTCCCCGGGTCAAAACGCCGCCAACCTTGTCATCGCTCGGCCGAAGTAATGTCAGCCGCGCGTTCCCGCAGCCTGCAGCAAGGACCGGTCGTCACCATACAACGTACCCGTCCCGCAGCTGGTCGCATGTCATCTCCGCGCGGGTACGTTACGGGCTGCGGGATCCTGCTTGGCGCGCGCGGGAGAAGTCATGCCCGCCCATGCCCCGTCATGATCTCTCATGCCCTCTCGGGATCGTGCCTCTCATGCCGGCTCGGGATCGGCATCTCCCGCTGCCACGGAGAAACCAGCACAGGCCGGCGTGAGCTATGCAGCACGTCGCGGGCGGGTTCCCAACGCCGGTACATCACCGAGCATACTGTCCCTCACCGCCAGCTGAGACCGGGCTCGGCGGTGTTTCGCCCAGCGCTCTGCTCACTCGGAAGCGTTCCTTAAATCTCGGATGCACGAGCACGCCGAGTCCGGACATGTTTACCCGGAAAGTCCTCGTCTTTACACATCCTCCGCCCCAACATCCGTTCCCGGAGCGGCGGACCATTGGGGTGAGGTTGGGAGGGGGGGGGGGGGGACGGTCGGGGGGGAGTGAGTAGGGGAGCTGACTCACCACCATGATGGCGATCCTGCCACCAACGTCTCCTACCACCGAAATGGGCGGCTTCTCCTTGGCCGCTTGCATGGGCACGCCCGTCACGCCCGCGGTCATGATCCGAGACGGGTCACTTCGCCCTGCGGGGGAGGCCGCACGCGACGCGCGACGACGGTCAGGCGGCGCCGGCGGCGAGCGAGCCTCCACGCTTCTTCTCAACACACCCCGTCAGGTACACGCTCTCGGGCACGTCACAGGGCACCACAGCGCACACTCTCCAAGTCGCTACGAACAACCAATCAAGCTCATGCACTGCATCCACACCCGCAACAAAGAAAAGTAAACCAAGAGTGTGCAACACTGAAAATACAGTGACACCAAAGTAACCAACGGCGGGGCGCGAGGCTTTCGGGTCATGTCATCGTCATGAAGGCGTGTTCTCAGCTTCGCTCGTGTCGCCCCGGAGGCGCACGGCGCGGGTGGGGCCCCGATGGTAAACCCCCGCCACCGACATGGGCGCTTCCGTTAGCGTGATCTGGCGCCCACGGCATTCACGGCGCAGTCTCGTCCAGCCGTGTGATCGCCGCGTTGCCAAGCAGACTGAACAGCAAAGCGCGGCTGGTGGCCCATATGACCGTCAGAAAGCATACGAACAGACGCTAGCCAATCACCTTGGGACAGTGACAGGTGGCAGCCAATCACCTTGGGGCAGTGAGGGGTGGCAACCAATCACCTTGGGGCAGTGAGAGGTGGCAACCAATCACCTCGGGGGCAGTGAGAGGTGGTAGCAAATCAGAATGAAACACGTGGTGACAGAGGAATAAGAGAGGGCATTGATCCAATTCCGTTCATGCCTCGTACTTCCACATTTACTTTAAATACGAATGGCAGGTAGCAACAGCTGCGGTGTTTTGGCAACGACTTTATCTATTTTAGTCACCGGTGGGTTCCCCCGATATGCTACCGATCTCAACTAACCATTTTGGAACTCGACAATAAAATATCTACGGTTGGAAAAATACCTCGTTCGTTCAGCCCACGCAGTGCTAAATTGCAACGGCAAGCTAAGGACCGTAATCCCAGCTGACCGCTTGCTAGGCTCAACTCGGCATCTTATCAACGACCAGGAGCGGCTACGGTGATGATCATCCCCATGAGTGCAATGTTTGCATCGACTGCAAAAACAACAGTGCCAATAACTCCCCCCCCCCCCTTACCACATAAACGGAGCGTGGCGACACCGCCATCTCCCAGCTGATGTCCTTACTGAGCGGCGGCACCAGTGACCAATCAAGACGTAGCTTGTGGCATTGCATCGCGGCCCTGGCCGCCGCACCGACGCCACAACTCCAGCCCTTGACCCACGCGCCTGACAAACTCATCACGCGCCCGACAGCATCATCACGCGCCCGACAGCCTCATCACGCCCCTGACAGCCTCATCACGCGCCTCATTCGCCGGCGGCCCCGGCGGCGACGGCGGCGTTACTCACGATGCAGACCGAGGCCGTGGAGCGGAGGCGGAGCGTCGCGCGGCGCGCGGCGGCCGCCCCGGCCGCGACAGCCGCCATCTCCGACTCGTTCGGCTCCAGGAACGACTGGACGCAGGGGCGGCAGGGTGGCGGGCGTCAGCTGGGCGGCGCGGCCGAGGCGGGCGCCCGCGAGCAGGACGAGACCCAGGCGGACGGAGGAGAAGCGAGGAGGCGCCCGGACAGCGGCCGTCTACACATGACAGGAGGGGGCGGAATATGACAGGGAGAAGTAAACAAGGAGTTCTGTGAATACGGAAAGGGAGGGGACCAATACGGAGAAATGAACGAGAAATGGCGTGAACACAGCGGGGGAGGAGAGGAATGTGGAGAAATGAATGTGTTTCGTGAGTACAGGGTACGAAGAAACGGACGAGGAGTTTTATGAGTACAGAAGAAGGGGGGGGGGGGAGGAATGAAAGCTATGCAAAGCAACGCAAAGGAATGGACGAGGAGTAGTGTGGGAAAGAGGCGCGGCAAACGTCTCCCGCAAGCGCTGCAGATAGCCGAGCTGCCGTTTAGATGGGAGCACGGGGCGCGGACAGGACCAAGAGCTGGACAGAGGGGCGCGGCTCGGGGACGGCCAGCCGCGCCGAGCCAGCGAGCGAGCGCGCGCGTCCCGTTTACCAGCGGCTCACCAGCCACCTCCATCCTCCAGCTGACCCTCGCTGCGCCGGCGCTGGGAGTCACGTCGGCTGCGCTGCCGCCGGCGCGGCCGCGAGACATTCAAACCGGCCGCCGCGGAACGGAACAGGACGGAGCGCCGCTAGTCGACGGGGGCGGCGCCAGGGCGGGACGGTGCAGAACAAAGGAAAAAAACCGGCCAACTCATCACACAGCAAACCAAGCCGCAACACAGGCCGCGCTCCCGGCGTAAAGTGAAAGCAAGGCGTCAGTGGAGTCCAGAAGCGATCACGGGCGTGCCTCCGGCCGGTCCGTCCGGCCCGCCGGGCGGCCGCCGCGCCCCTGCGGACGCCACCCCGGCGCCCCGGCGCCGGGTCAGCTCGGGTCACGTGCGCGAGCTCGGAGTCGGGCGGCGGCGGCGGCGGCGGCGAGCCGGACGGCCCGGCCGGTCCCTCTCTCTCTCATACACACACACACGCCGCTCACATCCCGCAGACAGCGGCCGCCTCACGCCGAGGTCGCGGCCCGGAGACAGCTGACACCGGCGACTCATAGCAACACGGATGCAGAGACACGCGGCGTACGTCCCACGACCATCCACACCAGCCATCGGCAGACGAACAAAACCCACCACGACCAGCCCAGACGCAACCAGCCAATAACAAACACAAACACAACCCGCACAGCCCCACGGCGGTCCAGTCATCCAACCCGCACAGAGACGGACAGCATCCGTGCGGCCGTTCGCACAAACCGGCCGTCGCCACAAAGCCACCGCCGACGCACGAACACGCACAGACCCCGGACGCGAACAGAGCCGGCCGGCGCGGCCCGCACGGACGGCGGCGCGGGCCGCCGGAGCCGGCGGCGCGCGCCACCCACCGACATCGAGACGGAAGAGTGGAGCCGGCCCTGGTGGCGCGCCGGCGGCTCGGGCGGCGGCGAGGTGCGCCCGTCGTCGGCGTCCACGTCGTCCTCGTCGTCGGGCGTCTTCGCCTCGCCGTGGATGACCGCAATGCCTGCGCGCACAGGTCACGGCCGGTCACGGCGGGCGACGCCGGCGTCACGCGGCGGCGGCGCGGGGCCGTGCCGCGGAGGGGGCCGACTTAAGTCGAACGGTTTGCGTTGCAGCCACTAGGCCACGCTGCGTCCGGCGGAGCTGTTCGCCACCAGCAGCCAGCAGCCAGCCGCCAGCAGCCGCCTCCGCGCGCTCCGGCGGGTCGGCAGAGGCGGCACGGTGACGCGGGTGGCGGGCGCCTTGAGCAAAGAAGCCGTCCTCCGCGGACACGGAGAGCGGCACTCTAGCGGCGCGGTCGCATTCGCCGGCCGCTGAGGACGGACCCGACGTTACCAGGCGTCATCGCACGTCGGACAAACGCTACCAGGTCATCATGTTATATCGTACACGTTACGATGTTATCATGCACCGCGTAACACGAGGCAGTGCTGCCATGTCCAGTACCACCAATGGGCCGTAACCTAGCATGGATGCGGACCCAAAATCGTCCCCACGGTCACGAGAGGCCCGCGTGACCCCCGCCGGCGGCGCCCGGTCGCCGCCTGGCGCGTGAGCTCCGCCCCGGCGCGGCTCAGGCGCCTCAGTCCGCCCCGCCCCGCCGGCGCCATTCCCACAACGCAGTCGGCCGGTGCCGACCGGGTCATTGTCACTGCCGTCGAAAACGAGCGTGGGAAGGCCTGTCCTGATGCGTTGACCAAGGCTTCACCAATGAGCGCCGAGGAGCGGCAGAGCTGCTGAACTGCTGCCTAGTAATCGCGCGTGCTGGGAACACTATGAAGAACAAAACTTGCGGCCCCCTCCCAGAGCGTTCAGACGGTTAAAAAACATGCTAAAACAGGGCGCGACTGATATAGCCCAATCATGTTCAAAACGAACCAGCAAGACAACATTAGCAGACAACCTGAGTAGCCGACCTGTTTCATCGCAGATTATGCCGAGTTTGGCCAATGCAGGCGCTGACCCACAACCAGGTTTTCACGCGGAGAATATTTGCAAACGGTGCCGACGCATGACATGGCGCCATTCTGTAACGAGCACTCCGCGCTATGACAAGTCTCTGGGCTTCCCACATGCCTCTACACCTGTGCACGCAGTTTATAGGACCAAACGTCCCTACTTGGACCGGAGTAGCAATCACCACTTCACTATCGCTGCAGCTAGCGCATTCTCTCGCCCCTATTCCCTGACCCCCCCTCCCCCCCCCCCCCCTATGTCCGCAGTCCGCACACTCGCTATCAGAAGCTGGCAACGCTTCCGTACCCCCAGCCAGAGGGCGTTTTCGGAGAACAGATCTCTACAGCACCACTCAAACTGCACACAGCCTTCTGCAGAGGAGCCTATGTCGGCGGGAGGCGGTCCAAGTGTTGGCCGCACTCGGCGCCGCCGCCCAGGTTGCAGACTACGTTCGGTCTATCGCTGTCTGCCGCGCTTGCGGCGAGCCATCCGCCGGACAAGTGACCGTCGTAGCTCTCTGTGACTGGCACGCCCACTTCGATATGTGACTGGCCAAGAGACGGCCACTGGCATGTTCAACTCGGTGCGTGATTGGCCAGAGGACGGTCACCCTCCCGTTGATTGGCTGCTACGGATTGCGAGCGCAGCGATTGGCCGACAACTATCACATGCGGAGTGAGAGCACGCGAAAGACCGGCAGCCACGGCGGGCCACGCCTCCGGCGGTGACGTGGCGGCCGCCGATTGGCCGACTCACCGCTGGGGGCGGGGTAATGGCTCAGACCGGCAATAAAACGCACTCCTGCAGGCAGACGTCGCCACTGCTGCGATCACATCGGCAATACATAACGCAACGCAGGAACTCGGTGGGGGGGGGGGGGGTCGGATATTACCACGGCGCAAAGGCGAGTGGCAACCAAAATACCAAACCAAAAGGGGTCTGAGAACGAGGGTAATAAGCACCGCGACAAGCATCTTGTACCTACCGGAGTGAGTGCATCTGCTGAAACTACAACCAAACAGGAACCGAACCTCAGCTACACCAACAAAAAGCACCACGAAAAACTGAAACTCATCTCCGACTGCCAACCAAGGAATAACGCGACGTTCACCAGTGAACCGACTACCGGTCGACGGCGCGCCGTCGCGCCACCAGAGGCTGTACCACAGCGGTGGTCCCATGTCAGAGGGCGTACCGAGACGCAGGCGCTCGGCGTAAGACGTGGCGCGCTTGCAGGAGGCCGGGTCCTTGGCGACGATCACGGCGTTGCGGTAGTCCGGAATCTGAGGGAGGGTCGGAGACGCGGCCGTGGGGGTCTCAGCGGGCCGGCACGGCACAGCGGTTCGGACACGCCAGGGGCTCTGACTCTATGACTCTGTTCAGACTCTGCCTGAAGTGCGGCAAAACAGCGAGCGAACGCGCAAGTAACAGGTCTGGTCAAAGCTGCGGTCTGGAGACCCTCCGCGGAGCCCTGGATGCCCTCGCCCACTCTCTGGCATTCCCAATGTGGAAGGACGGACACCCCACACTTGTACAAATACAATGCAAGAACAAACAGCATGTGCTTTGAAGAAAAACCAGTCATCTCCCACCAAAGACCCATATGTAGCTCACCACCGGTGCCGGTTTAACACACAGAATGACGAGGACATGATTTTACACGATTGAAATGCCGGGGGATAGGCATCTTGATACTTCCAAAGTCAACTAGGGCGTTATAAACAACACTATCAACCTGTCTATCAAGCAATTCACGAAGTGGCCATAGCTGCCTGCACATTTCCACGCAGGCTTCTAGTAGATCTAGCTGAATAGCCAACAACATGCGCCTGCAACAAGCTGAATGACATTCACAGCAAGCAGCGGCCACTATAACGACCTGTGTTATATCGCCAAGCCGGCCCTGGATGATTCAAATCCAGGAAGATGATGATGATGATTTGGGCTTTGTGGCGCACCGACTACGTTGGTCATATGACGCCCAAATCCACGAAGATCTTCATCCCATCAAAGGACAACAAGCATAGGACAACAAATAAGGGACAACAAAGGACAACAAACAAAGGACAAACATCAAAGGACCGTATTCAGACGGCCCCGTTACAGCGTGATCCACTTCTCACAGAGATGCAGCGACGCGCCAGGTCACACTGCCAAGCGGCCCGCAGTCCCAATCAGCCTCCACCGAGCGGCACGGCGCACAGAGTGCGAGCGCACGGCGTCGCTCGCCCCGCCCCTCACCTGTTCCCGGATGTAGTTCAGCAGAAACGGCGAGGCGCGCAGATTGTCCACCGGACAGTCGAAGAAGCCCTGGATCTCCTTCTGGTGCAGGTCCATGGTGATGATGTGCGTTAGTCCTGCCTTGCCTGCCGGAGCCGGACACAACGGCTCAGAGGGAGGCCCTACACAGGCAATGCCAGTACTCGCGGTCACAGCACTGGCTGTGAAGCACAGGATTACAAACAGCAACATTGGGCACGGACGAATGAAATAAAAGTCACGACATAGATATCAGATTTGCGATGCGCGTCAAAACCGCCTTTCCAATTCGCACTTTCACACGGATAAAATTGGGCTGGAGCTGTGGTCTTGAACCTGCCTCGGAACACCCTCTCAGAGTTCAGCATGGAGGATGTCCAAATGAACTCCCGTCCTGTGGCACCGTCACACCACGGATCAGGGGCCTCATCTCTAAGAGAAACGAGGGGCCTCATCTTTAAGAGTAAAAGTAGGAGGAACGAGCCCCCCCCCCCCCCCCCCGGTCCCTCAACACCACACACCACACCCTACAGGCCGCCGTTCCGTCCGCGGGGCGGGCATCCCCGCCGACCGCGAGCCGCACCGACCGCCGGGGCACTCACACATCATCTTCGCCAGCAGCTTGGACACGATGCAGCCCCGCTTCCGCATCTTGGACTGCTTGCTGTACGGCAGGTACGGGATAACGCCGATGATGTTGCGCGCCGACGACGTCTTGCAGGCGTACGCCATGACCAGCAGCTCCATGATGGAGTTGTTGACGTCCCTAGCGTCGGGGCGAGGTCAGAGGTCGACCGGCCAGGGCGCTTCTGGTCACAGGTCACAAGAGGAGAGCGGCTGTCGGGGCCCGACCAACTAACACAGCGAACTAGCGAGGCTGCCACGACTCTATGCGAAACTTAACAGTCGCGCAACACAAAGCAACAGCGCGGAGCTTTTACAACCGCACGGGCGTGAAGCGTTCTGTTCGAGCCTTGAGGAGGGCCCGGTTCAAGCAACAGGAAGACGAGGGCTGGGTCGTCAACAGGGTGCCAGGCACTGACCTACTCAAGGTGAACCAGGAGTGAACGCATGCCCCACAGGGCGATCAGGTGAATCACGCAACGGCATGGCTTGTGGGGTGCCCGAAAAGAAAAACCAACACGATTTTTTAGCCGCGGGTCATTTGTGCGAGAAGCGTCTTGAAGCTCCGCGAAGTGAAAAAAAACAGCAGTGGCGACATTGGTCGTTCACATTACACTGGTGTGTTCAGATCTGAAGCGTCTGAGACCTTCGATCTTCACAATTTTGAAATCGGACTAAAAGTCGCGCCAGGGGCGTGTCATGAAGCCACGAGCCATCAAAGAAAGCGCCACGCCGGTACAGGCACTGGCTCTGGGTCAGGGCTGGGCACCGCTGGCGACCGGAGGGGCCGACAGCGAGCCCGCAAAGGCCACACGTTCCGGGGAGCCGGCCCCGGTACGGCCCGGCGGCTGACCCGCGCCCTGACCTGGTCAAAGGTCAACGACCGGGCGCCCAGCAGTCGTATCTGGCAGGTCAGGCTCTAACGGCGACCGCGCGGGCAGCGAATCCACTACAGCTACCGTTTCTACACTATCTATGCAGCGCAATGGGCCGATCCGGCTACACTACAGCTACCGTTCGTAGACATCTATGCAGCGCAATGGGCCGATCCGGCCCAGAGCACAAGCTGGCTCCTAGGGCGCTACACGTAAGTCAGGCTCTCTAGACTAGCCTCAACCAGGCATTCTACTACAGAAAGAAGGCGCAAAGATGCCAGTGACAGAAGATCGCGAAATAAAGGAGAGCGAGAATGCAGCTCACGTGCGAGTCCGGGTTAAAAAAGCTACAACAGAAATAAACAAAGATCGGTAGGCAAGAGCCATGGTCTCAGTCGATATGGGGGACGCGATGATAGCAATGCCATTTGTCATGAAAGGAGACGAACACATTTTTGGTTGCAGCCAACAGGCAACAACTGACGCTGATAATAAAAAACGCACCACCAACAGGCTACGACTTACTCAAAATTTTGCGTTGAAACAAAAAGCCCTGACTAACCGTTAATGCGACGGGAAAAACGCGCTAAGCGGGTTTGAAACGTTTGAGCAAAGAGGCAGCGATACCGGTAAAGCTTGCTCCGCAGATCACTCAACTCAACAACTTCGGCCAGGGAAGCAAGGACCGGCGAAGACAATGCTTGAAAGCTGGAAGCTGACAGAAAGTACGCTCACTTGCATCTAATCACAACCACGTGTCTGGGCACACCAAAACGCCGGTTCGGCTATGTCACCAACGGAAGTGAACTCAACCTTTTCAATTGCTAATTTGAAAAACGCCCCGTTACATTCACAAATGACAAGTAAATTTACGATACACGAGTAAAACTACGGTACACAATCGTATGCACTCGTGATCACGCGGCAAGCGACAGAGCTGGTGACGAAAACCCTCGCGCTGGCTACAAGAACCCACGTTACACCACCACCAGCAATGCCGCTTTTCGACAGGCGACGCTTACGTGCCCCCGACGCGGTGCCCGCAGCCCGGCTCCCAACGAAGCGGCACAAGTGACGCGATGTCAAGCCACACAGGACGAGAACTTCGCTCGCAGGCGCCGCGGCTCGGCGGGCACGTTACAGAAGCAGACCCGAGCCAGCCCGCTGCCACGGAGAGGAGGTCCCGCGGGCCAGGACAGGGCGCGCCGGCGCGCGGCGGTGCGCAGGCGCGGCAGCGACACGGAGTCACATCGGAGG